GTGGTCCTATTATCAGAGACCGCTCCTAAAGTTAATACAGATGTCGGTTATATAGTTTCCTATGATACCCAGAAAGCTGATAGATCAGCTGAGATCTCAGAATAAAACGCACGTAACGCTCACAACGCTGAACACGCAATCCTGGCACGCGGCATTCCTTAATCTCTTAATTAACCAGGTAAGAAAATAAAAACAGGTAAATATAACTGTAGCAGCCATAGCCACGGTGTGGTCTTCTGAGGTGATCAGAGAGAGAGAGAGAGAGACAGGCGCAGGTGAGAGAGGACGAAAAGAGCCGACGTCTTCGGTTGGAGAAAACCAAGCCTGGTGCTCCGCCAGCAGCATTTTCAACTCGTGTAACTGTCAGGAGAAAGGTAACGAGGGGGAAAGTGAAAATCATTTTACATTTCTGGAATTTCCGCCACCCCGAATTTTATCTCTATAGTTCAATCTATTTCCCCCAGCCACTGAGAAGAATGGATTGGTAGGTATATTAATCGACTATCGGGCTTGAAAGTTCACCCGCGTTTCTGAGGATTTTGGGTCTGACCTTCTGTGATTGCTTGGTAGTCCCATGCCGTAATATGAAACTTCCACGGGGTTCCCTTTGAAAATATAATATCTTATCTCATTCGGAAATGAATCCGAAAGATTTGTTGTCAAATGTTGCAGCTTGGTTCTGTTTTAAGGCTAAATGAGTTCATTTGACGCAAAGAGGTTTAGTAGTGCATAAGTAGCAATTTTACAACAAAGTGTCAGACGAGGGAGAAAGAAGATATATTGCTTGTTTTGATACACCATACTTTTGTACTCTAGGCAGTTTGCTTTATAAATAAACATGTTTTGATACAAAGAATTTTATCATATTGGACACTTATACCGTGACAAAACAAGCCATCTTCGCGTGTACTTAACTATTTGGCATTGTTTAGACCATCAATCTTTAAAACATTTTCGCACGCAATCGCTCCCTATTAATCTTATAATTCTATCCGAATTTCTATAAGAATCCATTAAATTTAATCATTTTAAATAAATAGAGGTAATATAGTACTCGAATTCAGCTAAAATATTTTTTTAAAAATGACTTAAAACACTGCTGTAGTTTAACGACTATAAGATACAATCTCTATGTACCTATCATACTTTCTCCGTTATATCTTTATATAGAGAAAACATGAGAGATTTGTTTAATATTTTTAAAAAATATTTCTTATTATAGGACACAGAACCAATAAGCAGTTTTTGCCTTAGTTACAGTCATTAAAATTCTAGCAATTTAGACAACAGCTTAGCCCCGTTAACCTTAACTATATATTCGCATTCAAGATAGAGGCAATTTCGGCAGTCGCAAAGCTATTTGAGGAATTGCAGCCTTTAAATCACTTCTGCACGTGCAGCTCGCGGATCATATTTTTTGTTTATAAAATGTGACAATTATTGTATTGGTGCGATGGCAACGACGTGAGAAAGTTTAATGGATGCGGCTGGTTTTCTCCTAGGTTCCACCAAAGGCAGCGATGCGCTAAGATCTAATGGGCAAGCTTTCAAAACTTTTAAGACAAGGTGAACCTCTACGAACGGAAGACGTCTAGTGCTTTCAGCTCATGTTGCCGTTGTTCTGGGGTCCTTTGCTGTAACGGAAGATTTCAAATACACCAGCGTCATAAACAACTTTCTTGAATGAAAAATGATGCAGTTCACCATTTCCTTGCTCTGTCATCTACGCGGGGTTAGTTGAACAAGGCTATCACAAATTGATATTTTGGTTACCATATTGACCAATTATTTTTCATAAACGACCCTGAGGTGCAGTGAAGCGTCCTCGAGTGCTAACGGACGGCGTGCGCCGGCAATTATCCTGTTTCTGCCGGGTGTGTGGTAGACCCATACAGTACGGTGAATTCCTTGGGGGGAGCGAGCTGTGTTAAAGTCATGTTTTAAATCAGAGAAACTGCCAGGATGAAAAGGAATCGTGATGGCCCCGACAAGGTGTGCATTACTTGTCCAGAATTGAAACAAAGTCTGAAAAAAAGCTCCTCTGACGCGAAGGGTGGCCAGGGTCGAGCGAGCATATGCGGCAGATAAAATAGCAATGAGAAAACCATCCCCAATCGGCCCTTCAAAAAAGTTCAAAAACGCTATCGCGGGCTGCAGGCTGTCACATAGTTTAAATTTTTACAGCTCAATGACTGGCTAATTATGATTAATCGCCAGGCCAAGTTTTCTTATAAAGTCATTCGAGCCTTTCGCCCAGGAAAGCTGGCAGGAACAGCTGTGTTTGCTATCAGCCGCCAATTATCTCACTAATGCGTGTCTACGGTTACCTAGCCTAAATTAACCAATAAATATCAAATGATATGATAACAGAAAACTTCACCCAGCTACCTCTTGCTCTAGCGTTCTTTCTAATATCATCCGCGTGTATCATTTTGGCCACCCATAGTTGACGCTGACCAGACCCGCCTTTTTTACACGCTTTGGACAATCTTTTTGTTTGGGTCGTCTTGTGAAGTTTGAGTGCATATTACGGCGTGTATTTATCAAAATATCTAACAAACTCCGTAAGACATGAGGCGACGGGTGCAATCTTGGTGTGGCTCCCAGTGATTCAACAAACTATAACATAAAAACTATGCTGCCCAGCCTTCTTTGACCGCTCCGCTTTGGAAAGTTCAAAAAGAAAATAATGCGTATTTAAAAACTTTATTTTTGGTGGGCGACTTTCAGAGGATGTTGACAAACTTATAGTCTTTTTTATCTTGTATCCCTTTGAAGGAGTCCACAATAAAACTCGAAAAATTGGGCGTGCAATCCTTAATTGTGAAATGTGCAAAATGTTGTTGAACTAGTTTTTGCAAAAGTTCGGGGTCTGAAAAAATGTTTGAGGCAATAGCCTCTTTTCTGAAAGAAATGACATGAGCCTCTTTTCAGTCGCTCAAATTACCTCTGTGCAGAAACAATACAAACAGACGTAAAATGCCAACAAATACGTGTACACTGGAAGAGACTAAATAACAGTTACTTAACAGTCGCAAAACACGCTTTACAGTGCACATTTTTCAAATATATCGATTGTACTGAGAATGCAAATAAAAGGGGAAATTGAGTTTGCTGAAAAGTTTGAACCACAAAAATAAATGAATGAGCAATGTGAATTTTGAATTCAAAGCACTAGGTCTCACTTTACTTTAACTATAGTATTCAAATAATTTGCATCACTACACCGAAATTTCAAAGCATATCATTCCCGCCTTATCCTTGTTCTACTTACATGTAGTTATTTTTTGATAATAAAAATAGATAAATAAAAATAACTTTACTGCAATCTTACTGTTGCAAAAGGAGTCTTCAATCAATCCAAGGCATTTGTAATAAATAATCTTCAACTAGCATATTATGTGATTTGGTTCTCGACTATTGCAAATTGTGGACTCAATTTTATTAAATGTTTCTCGTTAATAAAAAAGGAGATTTAATCTAATTATCGATAAAACGATAGTCTATAAATCACATAGTTGCCATGCAACTAGCTTTAATACATGTTCAGTCTAAAGCTGCGTTCACACAGCACAATCTTACACTGGAAATCGACTGTATCGACTGCTAATAGGCAGTTCCTCTAATGACGCACGGCGGACTGAAATTGGAGTCTACGATGGTCCAGTGTGAACGAAGCTCTTGACGCCTACAGCCAAGTCTCACTTTGCAACATCGACATCGTTCATTATAACAGTTATATAACAGTAAAAAAAAGATTTTTATTCAGAAGGATTTGTTTTTCACGTCCTTTCATGATTAAAACCGAACGATAAAAATAGTGGTCTAACATAACATCAAACAATAGAAAGAATTGCGGTCTACCTTATATACATGGCTTTTGCCCGAGTTTTCCTGACAAAATGTCCCAACTGTGTTTGAAGTATGTTAACAACCAACGATTGTGTTTGGTGCGACATTCAATGATTCGACGTTCTAAAACGATATTCCAACCCTCAAATACGATTTCCATCCTAAATGATTAAATAGACTAGAGTTAATAAATTTTCTCATTATTTTTCAACCTTATACATCAATACCCTATATAACAATAGAAAAATACTATCTTTACTTTTGGTTTCAGAGTTTCAAACCGCAAGTCGGGTAAATATGTGCATTTGCACTCCTGTTTTTCGGGGAAACGAGTAAAATTGAACATCTTGTTAGTTGTCCGTCTCCCTTAGTAACATACGCTATATAACTACAGTTGTAGTGTCAACTTAACACATTGACTGCGGTCCAGCAAATATTCCAATAAAGCTTGGCAAGCGAAAAAAAATGCTAAATTCGATAACAGAATGGTGTATTTTGAAAGCATCCCGGGGTTATAGCTACACGCACCGAAGCTGAATAAAACGAAATAATATTTGTGTTCGTGTTAACTGCATTTGCTGAGATTAATATTTCTTGATGTCATCAAAAAATACGTAAAAAAAAAATAAATGCCTAGGCGTAGTATTTCAGTTCTTAATTTCGGAATTTTAAGTGAAACCCATTTTTATTTTGTTCTTAAACTAGGATAGACATGTTTAGGAAAATGTTTCTTGTGATTTGTCCCCTTTCGTTTCTCAACTAAGTGAGGCACGGCCTACTTGAGCAGCAGTTGTGGTAAAATATCGACTTTTATCACAAAGGCTTTTTATCACAATCATTATAATAAAATATTTTTAAAAAGTTAAGGTCTTAGGCTAATCTCTATAAAGAAGAAAAAAGAGATGAGTATTTGAAATGCTGTTGAAGCGCTCTACTTTTTAGTCCAACTAGATTCTTGGGCTTCAGTTTTTTTATAGCACCGGTAGGTTATACAGCGAATTTGCCTTTATAGTTACTGTGTTAACATGTAGCAGGTCTAAGTTGAACCTGGTGTGGATACATCCAGCACGACCGTATTCTAAGTTGAACCTGGTGTGGATACATCCAGCACGACCGTGTTCTAAGTTAAAGTTGGTGTGGATACATTTTCATTCATCCAGCACGACCGTGCTCTGTGGGTGTGAGGTGGAATACAACCACAGGGCCTGACCCAATGTCACTGGGAACTGCTGCTGAGGGTCGACCGCTGTACCGCCTAGCCATATTGCTTGATTCAAAGAGACCCGCTGGGTGCACGGAGTGACATCCGGGGCAGTGCTTTTTTCAACCTTTAGTTCCCCATTGTCCGGGTCCGGCTGTTGGGAGTCATCGGCCTCATTTTCTTCACCACCACTGAGATACAGTTTGATTATTTCACTGGGTGTGGTAGTCCTACGGCAGATGGGACACTTTTGGTTCTTTTCTAAACCTTCACTAAGGCACCTGTAAAATATGAGAAAAACATTTGGTAAATAGGGTGTCAATTTTAATTTCATGTTAAAACATGCATATTGTCAAAGCTGATTTCTGTCAGAAGTTACGTCCAACATAATAGACATTATAATTTCTTATTCGAAATAGAAAGAAAATAATTATGTACAATTATATTCATATTTTATTACTCAGGTCCCACTGAAGAAATATATATCGCGTAGACGATCTCGTCTGTTTTTGTTTTCATATTTCAGCCTGAAGGGGGTTTCCCCACACAGTTGGACTTTACCCATTCGCCGATGCGGAAGTGAGAGTGTCATATTTGTTGCAAAAGCACACCAAAACGTGTTCTACAAACTTCTTATAACATTCCGTCACAGTTTTGACCAAATTTACTATCATTACCAACTGCTACATGGCTACTGCGTTGCTTATTTGAGTCGCTGCTCGTTAACTGTTTGACAATCAGAGTGACACAAAGCAAGGAATTGTTTTTCTCTCTCACACACACACAGACACTAACCACGAACATTTCAAACCTCTGCTCTTTCTTACTTACTCTGCATGAAACACATGTCCACATGGAATGGTTGCCAGAGCACCCTGGGGAATGGTGTCCAGGCAAATGCTGCATTTAATCATGGTTGACGTCTTCCGGGTACAATTATCTCTGTCACCTGACGCACAGGGCGAGTACCCTGACTGCGTACGATTTCTCTAATTGCGGTTCCTTTGTTTTCCTAAATGAAATCAATAAATGTGCTTGTCGGATATCAAGAGGTGCGATTTAGACTCTCTGCACTATGTGACTGTACTATTCTGTACTATTCAGATTTATCAAAGAATGACACGGGTTTTTCCTGAGTGAGATGACCTCGTTCTCGCACAGGGAAATCCCACAATGTACTTTTTTGTAAAGGGGATTTTTTTTACTCTTTTATTCAGTGATGGTCACTCACAAAACAAACATATACGAAACTCACGCGCACTAAACTGCCTACAGAGTAGGGAGATACTTTTGGAAAAACCGTTTGTATGAAATATAAGGATGAAAAAACACCGAGTAACCACATTTCAGAAGAACGTGTTTAGATGACTTATCGATTTGCTAGATATTTTATCGACTGGTCCTTTTGTGATTCGTTACAACCACAATTCTTTCAATATAATTCTTTTAATATTACTAAGTGACTTGTAAGCGATATATATAGAGTTTCTCCAGCCGTAATGTTCAAAATTCTGATAATAAACAGATTTTCAGAAAGTGTACCGAATCTTTTTGTGTGGTAAATGATGAACACTCTTACATAACTCTTCCATCAGGTAATTATTATTATCAAATAATAGACTGACGCTACAATAATCTGCAGATCTGTATTTACTACCAGTGTTTTGTACAAAATTTACAATGACAATACATCAGAAAATATGATAAAATACAAGGACTTGCATATCAACTGGCAGTCCACAGGTAAAGATTGAATAATTGTGACATTATCTACACAAATGTTGAGATTTTCTAGCGTATTTTCTACTGTATTTTTTACAGCTAATCGCATTCATTAATAAATTTCATTAGAAATGACATGACAATGGCCAGATGAGAACAATCATACTGTCATAACAGTAACAAACATTTTAAGTACAGTTTGAACATTGTAATCAGTGTGACTGGCACCTTCTCTTCATCTCTGATAAACATCTGGAGACAGCTACTGCTGAATAATTAACAATTGTAGATAGTTCAAAAAGGCAATCACCTTCAGACTGATGGGAGCAAGACAAATATAGAACTCTGAGAAGTGTTTTACGGACACAAAGGCCATCGGATTATTTCTTTAATAAAAACAGACATACACTTGGGTTTTCTCCATCAAAATATCTATCACATTAGCAGTACAACACCTGTACTTAATATTAAAAATTGTAACCTTTTAATGTCAAACCACTATGTAAATGAATGCTGCTTATCAAAATCTTCCTGAGACTAAGAAATTAGTTGTTTTTTAGTAATGATGTCGCTTCCTGTTTTTTAATGGTTGTTTCATGCAGCGCTTGCTCCACTATACTGAACACAAAGGGTATGCAGCCAAATTTTATGTAGCTCCCATGATGCAACAGTGCTGTGCCTTCCCAGCCTGCACCACTTCCACCGATTAAACTTGAACTGCTTGTCTTGCAACTACAAATTTTATGGCTCTGAAATGTTGAACAGGAGATTTTTTTTACAAAAATTAAAAATGAAATTCTTTTAACTCCCAAATACAAGTACAAATACAAAAATCTGAAATAATATCGAAATCCTTGCAGTGCAAAGTGTACATAACTGTGCATGCATTTATGAATTAACTTTAAATTAGCTAACCTGCCCAGCATGAGCACTCATGGTGACCTTCTCTCCTTCTGTCTTGGGGGGTGGAGGAGGAGGGAGAGGGACTTCTTTTTCCTTCTTTTTCTTTGACTTGCTTATCACTTCTCTGACTTCTTTTACCACTTTGGTAGGCTGAGGTGTACTGGAAGGTTTCTCAGAGAAGTCACAAGAGTACAGGACATTGTCCACTGTGGTGCCATGCTCACTGTAGTTCAACAGCTCAAAATGCCGTGTTGTCTGGGAAATGAAAATTTTTTTTAATCAACATGGATTTACTGACCAAATCAAGTTAGTATTCATGATAAACTTGCTTTTAAAAACCCACGTAAAAATCGCTTCTACCTTTAAAACAACATCCCTAAATTTGACACTTAAGACAAACTGAATCATACATTCATTAAATTTCTTGCTGTAACTTGATTATCCAAGTGCTATGACATATTAAAAAATGGAGGTCCATGCTCATCTATAGTTACTGCAGGTTTAGACACCAACCCTATTAACAGGAATGTTTCTGAACTCTTACCTCATCATAGAAAATACTGGCATGTCGGGGTGAAATAAAATTACAGTGGCCATATTGGCTGAGACCTACATCCATATCTGCTCCTACAAACATGAAAGCAAATATTGTTTGAATACAATGTCAGAGTTTCAATTGTCAATGTAACAAAATTTGAACCAAAAAGATACTATCAATAATGCAACATAACTACGCAGATGTCAAAACACAAATCTGTAGCAATAAAAGTTTCAGTTCACCTACAAACTAGTGTACATGATGACATACACCCTGCAAATCACACCCCCCCCCTTAATTACCCACCTGTTCCTACTGTGAGTGTCCTGTATGGCATGGGTGCTGGCTGTCCCTTCCCTGTCAGTGGACACAGCAAGGCCCTGGCCTGGACATCTGTGGAACCTGGGGGGTAAATGATGACCACATGTAATCTACTTTCTAAGATGCTAATGTTTCAATCTCAGTGATCTTGCTTTATTTCAATACAGCATATGCACTTTCATTTGAGTCATTTGGGTAACATTAATCCAGTTTTGAAAGCTGCCACAAAACAGTATTTATGTTCCTCTTAAACCTAACAAAATAAATATTGCATCTCAAAATAATGTTAAGTAAAAAAATAATTGAAAAGTAAGAAAAAGGAAAATGTTAATATGAAAATTGTCGATAATAAATTTCATACTGTTTGCTCTAGCTTTAGAACTGATGCCAGCTGACTTCTGCATTTTTCCATTTTTCTAATTCCTAAACATTCTTGTTAGTCCTGTTTTAACTTCAATAGTGTTTACTGAGAGACAACACAAATCACAGGCCTATTAACTATATCTTCTTGTCCTTCTACAGAACCATGAAATACAAATAACCAAATGAACATTTGTGGTTGGTGCAGTAAACTTTTATCAAAAGCTGAAATATCAGAATCCTAAAAGTGTGCTACTAAAAAATATTTAAAAATGCAGAGGCTAGCATGCATCAGATCTAAAGATCTGGGTAACTACTACACACCATCTCTTTGAACAGCACGCACATTGAAGTAACTTACAGTTACCTGTTTGAGAGAGCAGTCCATTCAACATGCCTTTCCTCCCTGATGTCTTTGGTGGTAGCAGTTGCTGCAGTCTCTGCCAGGCCAAGATCTGCACCAAGCGTTCATCAAGCTTACTTAATTCAAGTTCTACAACACCAACAAAAAACAGAATATCATATCATATAGCATACACTTAACTGTTGTACATAGGTTGCTGCATATGATAAAGTATCTTTTAACTTGTTTTCAACTTTCTTTCATGGCACATGTATGCAGCAGTAAACATTTAAAACAGCTAACTTCTAAACCACCCAAGATATACCAACATGTTACATATCAATAGAAAGCTTATTTCAACAGCTTTTCATTTCATATCCTTATTTTATTATGTAGTCGTTATGTAATGAGATATAATGCATAATAGGTGTGCTCAACATGATCTTTACACCTTAAAAACTAGAAGTTCACTACAAATGGACATGTGTAGACAGCTTGACTCATGAGCCCTCACTGGGATCAACAAGAATGCGCCTCAAATTAGCAATATGGGTTAAATTAGCAGAGATATCAAAATAAACCTGCTTTCCAGTCTTTTAACAAATATGCCTTTCTCTTACCTGCATTCCCATCAATGAAAGCCTGGAGATTGTTATTGAGGTTGATTATTGCTGGAGAGGAGCTCAGTGTCCCAGCTACATTTAACTTATTGGGAGCACTGTTGGCACTAGGACTGGATTTCACTAAAAACAGAAAGATAAGCCAATTCTTTTGAAGACCAGAGTAGGAATACCATCAAACTTCCACGTAATTAGTTAATACAGGTTTAGTATTGCAAGATGCATAATGACAGTGTCTAGTTAGATGACAAAATGTTGTATTTTCCTGGTGAGGACTTCGTGACCACTAAATGGTCACTTGACTGTTCACATAACAGAGGGAAGGGAATCAAGTCCATGTCCAGTTTACTGTCCCAGATAAATGAAACTTGAGCCCCTCTTTGATTGCTGAGCCACTGCTCTCCTGTGTTGACTTCTCTTCAGTGATAAACTCCATAGGGTTATCTGTTACACAGAGTTGCACAATTTGGACTCTGTAAACTTGCCACTTTATCTACAGAAAGTTTGCTTCTATTGAAGTCCTTATGAGGCAGACACAACTTCATCTATCTAGACATTAACATTGTCTGGTAACTTAAATTAAATAAAAATATAAAACCTGGACCCCGTATCTTGAAAGCTTCACTATTTTGCGCAAAAAGACGTCATAACACAATTACACAAAATGTAATTTTTTTCACCATGACGCTAGATCAAGAGGTTGTTTTTATTTATAGGAATATCATAATTACAAATACAGATATTTGAAGTGTTTGACACCAATAAAATGTCATGAAACAATTCAATAAGCGAAGCTTGAACTGTCACAATTACTGGCACATTGGTGAGTAGTGTTCAGTCTCACAATAATAGACATTGAGGAAGGTCACGGTGCGACCGAATGCTTTGTTTCTGCTTTTTCATTTTGTGTGGAAAATGACACTTTTAAATTTATTATTATTATCAATAGACTACACATATGAATTAAGTTCACCAGAAAATATAAGCATATACACTGAAATGATATATGAAATGTTTAATTTTGAAATTTTTCTGCATAATAAAACATGACTTTAACGTTCTTCACGTGAATATTTACCGCAAGTTTTTCTATCAGAGGTACCAGTGATTCAATCAATTTTAAGCTTCCATGCTTTTGTTATATGTTTTATGATATGCTATTATGACTAGCAACCCAAACTTGCTACCATGTTTAATTACATGAAAGACACATTAAAATGACGAATTATGCATACGCAGAGGTCTTTGCGACTAGTTTGTATCGCCGCAAATAATAGCTCAAAACTAATGGTGATTTTGACATTAGCGCACGGCCGCGATTTGCGAAGCTTTCGAGATACGGGATAGTGCACGCTCGCCATGCTTGCGCACGTGCGCAACATAGCGAACCTTTCGAGATACGGAGCCCTGAACTAGTTTGCTGTAGAAAAGGAAAATGGCAAGTACACTTTATTAAATTCTTATCAACTTATCAGAATCAGTTTAATATGGAAAACTTTTAAACATCAATATTAAACTAAAATATTCAAAAAGTCCTACATGATCCTTACCTGCACCAGGTGCTGTGACAGTGATAACTTTGGATGTGGCATTGACCCCCGTCCCTGACACCACTGTCACTTTCCCAGTAAACCCCTTGGCAGCACTGCTGCCACCTATCCTATTGGTCAGTATGGATGTGGGAGTTCCTGCAGGTTTAGAAGGCCCAGAGCTACTGGATGCTGTCCTTCCCTGCTGGTTTCCGCTCGTCACGACCTTTGTGACCACAGTGCCGCTCTGTTTGTTCACAGTTCCAAGAACTATACTTTTTGAATGTACAGGTGTCTGTTTATCACCATGAGGGACTGTCACTTTCACCACATTGGGTGATGACAACAAATCAGTCCTCCCTGAACTCACTATTGACTCTGATTTACACTTATTCAGATCTGTTTCTCCATTGGGCGTGAGGCACCCTGTGTTTAGCAAAGATACTGGTCCGTTTTGCCTAGGCAACTCTGCCGATGCTGATGCTGCATTAGCAGTAAAAGGTCCATTAGGCAAGGATTCCTGAGTTGGAGATCCTAGTCCTCCATTAAGAAGAGTCTTTTGGTCGCCAGTGGTTTTGGTCTCTGAGAGAGAGCTGGTACTGCCACTAGACGGTGTGGGACTAGTTGTACCAGAAAACTCCTGTTTGATTGTGGGCAGTACTGATGCTGTAGGCTTTTGTTCTGCAGCTTTGGTGGCTGCTGTGCTTGATGTTGCTGAGGCTGAGGCACCTCCGGCTTGCTCCTGCTCTCCCTGATTTTCTTTCTGTAGCTGTTTCTGAGCTAGGTGCTTGCATATGCTGGTCTGGAAGGCCACTACACTGGATAACCACTGACGAGAGAAAATTATACATTAACCATTACACTGGAAAGGTGGGCAATGAAAAATTTAGACAGTATTGAGATATGCTCTTAACAATGGTATATTCTTAACAATGAAATTCATCAGAAGGGAATTTTAATACATATATCTATGATAAGCTCACTTCTTCTTGTTCCTCTAGTGTAGTTTCAGCCTGAGGGGCAGTGGACTTTGGTGGCTGCTGCTCAGGTGATGGGGTCAGCACTGGACTGGGCTTTGGCAACATGGGAGGAGGATACTGGTAGAGATCCTTGATGGCTTGAGGGACCTGAAGGGAAGATGATATGTCATAACAATAACAATCATAAACAGTGGGTGCTTTCCCAGAGATTTAGATCGATCTAGAGATTAAGATTTAGATCGACCCAACTCCCTGGGGTTCACGCTAAATTGCAGTCAGCCGAGCGGGCACCATAGTTAACTACCCCCTTACAGCTTTTAGTAGGCGGGACAGACGCTTAAGCCGGCCAAGCTGACAGTAATCTAGTGAGACTCCCCACAGGGATAGATCGATCTAAAAATCTATGGAAACGGGGTGAGTGTGTGCTTCAAGGAGAGAAATGTAACACTAATTATTACACTGAAATCATAGTTTCTTTGCAAGAGAATTAAACAGGGATCTCTAATACCTAAAGATTAAAACACCTAAAAGTGGAAGCCCAACTTCACAATCAAACTTGCTGAACAAAAAATTAGCGATTATTTTAGAACATGAATTATTAAAGCACTGGTTTCTAATATTTCCATTAACAATTAATAAAGACATCCACATCCTATATTAGCTTCTGATATGAGATTGTAAAACATAAGCAGTATTTGATATATACTAACATCAACAGTCTTTCTTGAAGGGTGTTTGACTTTGATCCTGAAAGGCGGACTCTGGCGGTGAATTTTCTTTAGAAACTGCACTTTTACACTATGCTGATTGACTATTCCTGAAAACTGATCCCACAGTTTCACACGTTCTGACAAACTCACAGACTTTAAAATTTTTTCATCCTGAAAGCAAAATAAGGTTCAATTATCTTTTAAAGGCCTTTACAAAAGCATTTCCACATAAAACATAGAGAAATCATGAAATAAATTTCATATCAAAATTATGTAACAAATACTTACTACTGACTGAAAATAAGACTCAAGCTATCAAATAAATATTATACAATCTTCTTTAGCTCTGATTCAAACCACAGCTTGATTTTACTCTTTTCAACTGGTAATACACAATGAATGAGTGGACTAGAGGTACATGTACTAACCACAAGATTCTCTGCATGGTTAGGACACATCCACCTTCCAGAAGGTAACGAGGGCATGGGGGGGTTAAGACAGTCCATGTGGAACAGCAGAGGGCAGTAGTCACACTGGATTAGTGGGGCAACCCTGCAACTCCTGGAATAAAGACATTGGACAGTTTACATAAAGGGCTGTCCATGAATTATACCAGCCACTTACTTACACCTACACGTAGCTTATTAAGAACCAGATTGTTAATAATCTATACAAATACGCATTTTAAGCATGCCTAATAGTTGGAAAACTGAAAATTCTGAAAACGTTGCTTCAATTGCTCATAGCATTTAGACTATATGAATAAATGTATATCAAAATGAAGAATAAAAATCCTGAGATCAGACATCATCCTGAAAAATTTCACCCCTGGGTAAAAAATTGAAGTATATTTTGAAGATTTTTACAAACCTGTCTATTAAAGTATCAATAAAACATTTAGTAGGATTGGAATAGGTACTGATAAAAATTTCAAACCTAATTTACAAGACACAGCACTTACTATCAATATTTTAACCTAAAAGAAGTTGCTGCCTTCGAGACAAAATAGAATGAATCAGATAGATGATATCATGTCCGAAATTGGAAGCTTTCACTGCATTTTGTTATATATCCAACCAGACAGGTTTTTTTTTTGCAACTAATGTTCTTTATAAGTTTGAAAAAGAAGACATATTTTGCCATTTCCACATGCAAAAATACCCTCCGTCATTTAAAACCTAACCATATGAAAATAACAATCCACAATGCTCTCATAACAGTGTCAAAATCAATATTTACAGAACTGATTAACTGATTATTAATTTCCCCCAAAGATATAGATTCCTACAAACACCAAGTTTTTTCTATGTGTTTCAAGTTACAGATGCAATATAAACTGATCTTTCATGAAAAAACATGCAGAAAAAAATTTCCAAATTCTATCTGACTGTCACTATTTCGAAGGCATGTTAATTTCTTCTGGTTTGGTTTTGGTCAGTTAAAGTATCGGATGCATTGTTGAAATATGGGCTAGATTGTGTTAGTAAAATTAACTGATTTCCTAATGCTACATCTCACTTAACTCAGGTAATAAAAGATCTTAATCAAATAAACCCAAGGTAAAATACACCATTCAATGATTAGATCTGCCACTGACACAGTAAACAGCTCTATTCAGAACTAGAGCAAAAAATATCTAAACACTTTCTAAGCTAAATAAACGACAGCAGCAATGCTGTTTGCCTTCATATTAACAACAATCTTAATAGAATATAAGTTTGGCAAAAAAAAAATTGCTTCACTGAATTTTTAATTGTATGGCTCACTGCACCCTTTCCTTCCTTTACCAATGAAATATTCCTTATGTTCAACAATAATTTTCAGACTGTTCAAATAAATTTATTTTGTTCTCGTACAAAATTGATCTGTTTCATATTTTAGTAATTCGTAAATGTCATGACCCTATTTAAATGGCCTCTTACTTGCTACATAGAAAACACAGTCTAGCAGGCAGTGGAACCATGCCATTGTCCAGTTCATGGGCTAGCTTCTTTGGGGCATTTCTGTTACCATCTTTCACCCAACGCCTCTTACTGGAACCTGGTTTTAAAGAATGACTCACTTTGAAAATCCACACACAAAATGTGAGTTGAGAAATAAAAAAAGCTTGACATTTACTTTAGTATACCTTAAATATATTGAACAAATGAAAATGTCCCCATCACAGGAGGCATATTACAAAGTGTCAACATGCAACTAACTTCTTCCTGGTACTGGCAGTTTTCTCATTTAGATTTGATTTGTTTCAATTAATACATAATACTGATATTCTACTGATGACTAGCGTTGATAACTTGTTTATAGACTGACCTGGCAACACAGTATTGCAAGTCATATCTTTTGGTATCTCAAACTGCTTCGGATTCATCAAACTGGCAGCTTTTATCAAAGTCTGTAAGGGGTTGTCCCCATCATCCGAGTCAACTGACATGACTTCTTCATCAATAGGACTTCGCCGATTCGATCCACGAGTTCGGGACTTTTCTGATGTGCGAGATGTGGTTTTACTTTGAGTGCTGGTGACTGAAGAGGCATCATCATCAGCCTTGAAAAAAAAATCAAAACAGAAAAATATAAATAAGTAATTCTTTTTTAATAAGAAAGCAATCGATTTTATAGGTGTTCTTTATATTTAAAAAAATCATATTAAATATGTAAAAGATTGTTTTTAATTACATGTGAATACAAAAAAGACCATGGTTACAAAGTACTTCTTAGAATGGCAAATCCATCTAAATAATATTCGTGTTAATTGTTATTCATGAGGTTGTTGCAGTCATGGAATAATCACTTATGAATGTTGATCTTTAACATATGGCTACAGAGTAGCATCTTCCTCTGGTGAGCACTGCACATCCATGTCTTTTTCTACTATTTACATAGGTGTGTTTCAAGGAAGGGCAAGCATGAAGATCCAATCAGATAGTTTCATTATGGTCTTATAATACAACATTCAGTCAGCTACCAATGCACTACTGTAGGTGCCCTCAAAAGAAGAACCAGAATTTTCTATTCATGAGAAGGTATCAAATCAGTATTACTTCCACGTCTTGAGTGTCAAGATATTATCAAACACTACGTTTGAAATGAGGGGCAAAATTCAAACCTAATCCAGTTCCAAAAATTCCACTTCCAGGTGGTTTTTTGCTTTGTGAGTAACATACATGGCTCAAATTCAATTTATGAAATTGCCCAGACTACAAATGTAGCTAACTAACAAAACAAAACATGCCTGGGTTTTTGTTAGCATGTTATGCTTTACACACATCTAAAACCAATCTATTTTGGTCAAAGAAAAGAAAATGTGAATTCTCTACAGAAAGTACTTTACTGAGAGCCCAGCATACTTCTGGTAGTAAAATGTATTGGCATATTCTCACTCTCTCATCTACCCAGAGGGCTACTTACCTCTGAAGGGGGTGGACCCACTCGGCAGCGATGACACAGCCATTCCCCGGAGGGTAAATCGTCTTCACTGAGAGGCGGATCACTAGAAATAACAGATATTCACTTTACTTTATCTTCTGGCTGGTCTACAATGGCTTCATTACATGGAATAGCATAGAGCACAGTTGTCAGTCCAGAAATAAAAAGGAATAAATAATTGCAGTAACTAAAAAGATGGATAAGAGGTCAATGGAGCAACTTAATAAATGCATGTTATCATGAACATCATTCCAAAGAAATTTATTTACAAATTCAATATTCATTTCAAATCTATTTGGTAACAACATACTAGTATGCTAGGATTGGCACTAAAAAAAACATCCAAAATAAATAACATCTAAATTAAACGAATGCACATATTGAGAAACCATAAAACTTCATTCTTTATACAAGACCTTGCTAAGTAACATAAACATGGAACAATCAATATGCTATATGAATACTCCTAACTTATGTAGGTCACCAGCAGAAATGCAAGATGCTAAATTTACCATTTCCTGAAGCTGGCAGAGTTCACATATATTGTTCCTATTATGTAGTCTTACAACATCATAGTAAATACTGCATGTTGAAATTTTCACAACTTTTTCTTTCTAAATAAACAATAAAGATTCCTAAGGCAAACCTTACATTATTTTCTGATATTATTGGCTAAATGCCTATATTGTGCCTCATATGAAGTAAGAAATCACACAAAAAGAACTAAAAATTAACTTTACTGTTAATCTTAGAAGATGGCAAGCCAATTCACGAGACAGCACTGCGCAGGAGAAACAACTGAAAAACAGGCACTTGAAAACTGATACAATCCAACCATATTTTTAGCAACTGCAGGCTGTTTGTTAGCACTAATACTTCTTGGCACATAAAATACTCTCTATATTATTTAACAAGTCAAAATGACAAAAAAGCAAGAAAAGACATAAAGCAACATGTAAGTCAAATTATATTTCTCTTTCCATCTAAGACATGTTCTTGGTTCATCAAAAATCTGATAATGGTCATCCTATTTGGTCTTCTGCCGACAAATCTATGAAAACATAATGTAACAGATCCATGAATTGTTGCCAACTAAACTACAACCCAATATGAGAAGTTATTGAAATCATAAAAAATTGCAACTGTAAGAGTGATTGGGTTCATTTACAATATTACCCAGACATAGTACAAGTGCAATAATTGACTCTAGAGGTAAAAAATTCACTTATTCCCAAAATAAACATCTGTCTGGCTGTAATTAGTCTTGTGTTTTGTAGGTTTACTCCCTTATTTCACAACTAAACATGAAATGTTTGCCAAATGCTCAAGTAAATTTACTTTGGAGAATGAAAATGAAAAATATGTTTTTTCTCCATCTTGCCTATTTATCACTGTGACTCTAATTTTAGCCTAGGCTTAACCATATTTATTAACACATGCAAAGTGAGCCTGGATCTAATTTGCTAAATATGTTGCAAGTAAAATTATGCAAAATTTTATCCAGAAGAATTTTGGAAAACAAATTAAATATATCATCCCAAGGTAATTCATTTCTGGGGCTTATCTACTTCAAACAAGCACTGACCTGTTGTTGAAAGTGAAAAACTTCTGCTCTTGCAGTTACAATGTTTTCAAATGAAACAAATATTAATGAGAATGTTACTAGTATTTATATAATGTATGGCTATTGTTATGTTAAAGCTGGTGAGGCATTTGTCTTAATTTAGATCATTGTTTTATTGATAACACTGACCCTAGAGGAGTGGTCCAGACCCCAGCAGTTGAGGTGCTGGTCTAAGAAGGTCAACTGACAGCATCTCACAAATCTTCTGGGTATATAATTTTTATAAAATCAAGCAGTATTTCATAGGAAATGGGATTTTACATTTCATACAAGGCAATTCTTCTCCACACACTCAAAAGGATAATACCAGTCTGTCTCCATGACACAGTTAAGTACCAATTCCCTGATTACTTTACCCTGCTTGATCATCATATGGTTTACTTACTGGCACTGTAAATGGAAAGCAGCTGGGCAACGGTCACAACACAGCAAATCACCACCTTCCTTGCAACTATCACAACAATCATGATTCACAGCCCGGCCTGGCCGCCTGTATTCGCGTTCTGCCTTTCTCGATTTTCGACCATAGTCATCGCTCTGGGGCGGCGCCACCAATTTTTGGATTTGCTGGAAACAGAATGCAAAAAACAAATATCACCAAGCGACGCTTAACATGTGGCCTACTTCACCTGAAACACAGGAAAAATTCAACATGGCGACTAAAACTTTTTAGACATTCACCGAATCGTGAAATTTCTACCTACCTCCATGAGCCCGCCTGAGGTGTCCAAGTCATATTCGACAGTCGCCATTTTCTCCGAGTATCGTATGGGCAGATAAGAAGTTTACTTGGAAAAACTGAAAGTCTCTGGTGACAACAAATTCCACTTTTATCGAGTGGAAAGAGAAGTCACATATGACTTTGTCAAGCGATCCTCAACTGGGTTACCATCACACATTTAAAAGGTATTTCCTCGGTGACAACGGGGCTAAAAGACTTTTAAGTAACTCCAAATAATGCTGCTATTGAGGTCGTACCCTTGCTGTAACATGCGATGAAATCGATGATCGTACAATGATAGAAAATGTAAAATACTTAAACTTTAAAGGTCCCAAAGCAGACCACTTGGTCTTGGCGCAAAATGTCGGACGACCTAATGCGCATGCGTGCATGTGGAAGGGTGGATCTATAAGTTGGAATGTTTTTCGGCTGTATTAGCAAGAGTGAACTTGAATAAAACAACAGACATGCGGAACAGATTTAAACAAAGAAACAAGCTAGTTCAAATTTATATTTATGACGAAAAATACAATCATGTTTCTTATCAAGCATTTTACCAGTATGCGTTGAAAATGGTATGTTTAGGACACGACGGAGGCAGCAAGTCAACGCTCGGCTGTCACGTTGATGTTGAGCCCTAACACATTTTTTCACTATTAATAGGTTTCATGTGAAAAAACTACACACATATATTCTTGTACAGGTAGCTTCATATGGAAGTGCAAAGCCTTCACAATGGCGTTTATCATAATGGGTGAAACAGTCCCATTTAACTTTTAAGATGATAATTCATACATGAGATCTGCCCTAGCTGTTAAAACATGTAAAAACCCCCGCCCCCACATCCCATTCCTTGCTTGGTAATAGTAATGGTAGGCCTCCTGGGGTAGTTTATTATTTGAAATCCATGTGCATCCTAGAAGAGGAATGGCCCAAAGACACCAGTGCCTCTTCAAAAAAGCCCATACTGCAATTTATACACCAGTGCCAGTTAACACAGCCCACTTATTTTATCAAGTCTAGCAAAAAAATTGCTTTTCCATTAGCAGAGTTGCCAACCTCTGACAAAAAAAGGATAATAATAAAATAATAATAAATAAATAAATTTTGAAAGTTCATGGTATAATTAGTAATTAAGCAAACAAAATGAATATCACAGCAGCTAATTTCAAACACCTAAATCACTGTGTGAAACCAAGTTATATCTGTTATAACTCCTTGGTGAAACACTGTCCTATAAGTACTGGAGTATACTCTCTTACATACCCCTGATACATCGCCTGATTCTTAAGACCAGGTATAATTATTGCATGCGTCACTTCAGATTCAGAAATTTTAATTTAAAAAATGCCATTGGAGATCGATTTACTATCTTTGTCAATTCACATGCATTTTATCTTTGGTCAATTGAGAAAATATGTAAATCCTTTTTGACAAACAGTCACTGCATGTGTTAATAATCTGACCACTGTCTGTCCATGCCAGTGCTGTTTCAAGGATCACTCCCTTACCTGCTAATCCATAAGTGCCAAACCAGATTTTTTTTATTGCAAATTTACTGAGTGGTCTTGTTTGGTAAAGAAACATTTTCCTTCCCAAAATCATCATGATGCAATTTTTTTTACATTTTTTATAAATATTGTTGCACTGCTTTTCGCTGTTTGGTATCCGCATGTTTGCCAGCATTGCAGGTCTAGTTTTTGTTCCTTTTTTATTTTATGCTGAGCAGGTGAATCCTGGCAGAAATTCACAATCTTGGCTGAACAAAAACGCATCGAGTAGGTAACCTTGCATTAGGTTTGTGCAGTATTTTGTTCACAGCTTGAAAGGTGTGCACATATAATCAGAGCATTTTTTAAATAATTACTAGTATGTTATCACTCACTCAAAACTTTAAGCAAAGAAGAAAACATGCTGTCAATTTCAAATATGATTTGTGTCAAAATCAACAATATTCGTAATTGTCTTCACTTTTGAGCAATTTATTTGCCAACTTCACATTATTTTGATAAAAATTGATCAAAGATCTTCAAAATACAACAAAATATGAAACATTTTATTTCATCTGCATGTGAAGCTGTTCTTTTTGCGAAGCATATTGTTGCTACCTTTACTGGTGTGTACTGTGCTCCTCTTAGAAAAATTTAATCCAGTTTGAATGTTCAAATACCAGTACTGAATACAACAGGACTGTACAACAGTCAGCAGACAACATTAACAACTTGTATTATCATAGTTCGTGACATTCAGGATATAGTTATACCGATATGTTGGTTGTTCACATCTCTTTCAGAGCACTTGCATGTGTTTCTGTGGAATTGTAGTACTGGTACATAAACCGTTAAACACAAAAATTTAATTGTAACACTAATGTATATCAAAAAGATTCAACAAATGACTGTTTACTGATCATATCAGGTACATTTAAATCTTGGCTTAAAGCTTGGCATGGTTGGTGTTATCAGTCAGAAAAATAGTTCAACAGCTCAATAAATTAACAAAATGACAGGTAAAAATGCTAAGAATTAATTTATTTTAGAATCTGAATAAGAAACAAATTGTAACAACTCGGAAGCTCTTCATTCTACTTCTCGAATGACTCTGTAAGCGGCGGAAGGCAGGTCTGTCCTTGAGGGATACACAACTTTCAAATTACCATCAGGATCCACTATGCGCACTTGTTCAACAATCAATCTTTGACCTGTGACTGCTGCTGTGCCATCCTCGCTGCCTCCAGTAGCTCCCCCTTCAGTGGTGTCATCCCTTCCGACACCAATCTCAAGAATTTCTTGAAGGAGGGCATCCATCACCTTTTTGCAAGTGTCTAAAGATGTAGAGCTCGTCACTTCAATCAATACATCCGTTGTGTCTTTGGAAATCTAAAATAGTTAAAAATTGGAAAAACTAATGAGGAAGACTCTGTTAATTTAACATTTTAGATGAACATTAATATGTCATTGTCAAGCTTTTTGTATATGTACTTGGCATGTTTTGGAATAAATATGTTTATATTGTACAACTCAGTTCACAAAATGTGATGTATTCTGGCATGTTTTTGTGGTGCTTCAAAACAGCTGATACCATTACTTAACATTAAATCTCTTGACACTGAAATTAGCAAAACGGCAACATAATGGCAATTTTGTGCATTACCAATGCATATCTTATACAAGTACAAAAATTATTACTACCACTTCAATTATCAATAATTCAAATACCAGGACTTCAAATTACCTTAGTAACATCACAGTTCGTGATTGGTGGGAATGAAATAACTCTCCCTTCGTTATCTGCCAGGAAAGGAAAAGTTGCTTTGCCTTTCAACAGATCTAAATACCTGAATAAATAAAAAAAAAGATTTAATCAAAAATAAATTCAGAGATAGTTGCATTGTATTGAGAAATTGCAGAAAATTTACATGAAATATACTTGTTTAGAGGCTATTCAGCTAGACAGCTTTGTGCCCTGGTGAAGATACTCCAAATAGACACTGCAATATTAGAGTAAAACCGCAATTTCAATACTAGCTGTTGATTGAAAAAAAGTTTTTTATTCTTATTTCTTTGAACTTAATACAAATGTTTTGGTTTCAAAAGTAATGATAATCTACAAGCTTTTATTAAAGGAAAACTGTTCCTAATGAGCTACAATAGTAAGAAAGATATACCTTTGAATGGAGACATCAAGAATGAGAATAAAATATCAAACTTTTTATAATCACATAAATATATCTGGTTTTCACAAAGGTTAATGTTAAATTTTACTCACTTGTGTATTCCAGAAGTTTGATTTCTCTTCTTCTCTTTCCTATATTCCTCTGCTTCCTGGCACAGTTTGTCCACCAACTGCCGTGCTGTTACCTCTGCCTTCCTCATAAGGGGAAGCAACTGAAAAAAAATTAACAAAATGACCCAAAGGTTACAGATCTCAGCAAAAATAACCCAAGCAGATTCTCCTTATTCAAATGGCAGCTATCTTAAGCATTTAGCATAAAAATTGTATGACAGCCTGTCGCTCATTTTATTCTCAACACAACATAAATTTTGTCAACACTGATTAAAGAGCATGGCAAACACCATGTGTTACTATTTCTCTCAGGCCCGTAGCCAGGGGGGGTTCGGGGGGTTCGAAAGAACCCCCCTTCTTGCTGGAAAAAGGTCCACTCTGGGTAAAATTTGACCTAGGTATATGGGGATTATATGGTAAAAGGTCCACTTTTTCAGAAAAAGAACCGCCCCTTTGAAATGCTGGCTACGGGCCTGTCTCTTTATCCATGATTTCAAATAGATATTATTCTGTATTTACCTTAATTTTAAAAACAAAACTTTTAAGATTAAAAAGAAATTTCATACCTATACACTGAGCATAATCAGAGAAGAGATCTTGTCTCACCTTAATTTCTGTAGGATCCTTGGCATCATATAACAGGGGTCCCTTCACCAAAGCCACATCATGAGTGGCTATAGTGGCTGCCTGGCGCTTGTTACACATACTGTCATGTAATTTGGTCTAAACAAAAAAAATATTATGACCAATTAACAAAAAAGTTGAAGCTAAACCTTTCTTGTAAGTAATTGACTTGACAAAATAATCTGCCTTTTGCATGTCTACTGATGTTTTACATATTTTAGTGCAAGGATGCAAGTACTATTCTTGCTATGCAATACCCTGTATATATGTTATCATTAATTAGCTTATACACTGTGTAAGTGACATACTTCAAAATTACTGACAAGCAAATGCCTTTATTATAGGATGATCAATAATTTTGATCATGACCAAAACATTATGGCAATTTCTTCTCATCTATGAATTAAACAATCAACAAAAAAGACCCATGAACATCTTATTTACCCCTGGGCAACATATCTAAAGAAAGGGTAATAACCTGCAAATTGATGAACCTCTTAAACATGTTCAAAGACTTATGGAAGTCTAGCTGTCTAACCATACAGCACACAATGTATGGCCTGATCTCCAACACTGCAGAGGTAACTTTGACAGTAATCCCCTTCTCCTCCTGGAAGTGCAGAACCTTCATCATATTCTTCATCAAAATTTCCATCTCATCATCATTATCTCCTGCTTTTGCAGTTTTTTTCTTATCCTTTTTGGTTTTTCCTTTGTCCTTTTTGCCACTTTTGGCACGTTGCTGGGCAAGGACATTCCCTAGATAATCTAAAACCGACTTAGTTGGACACTGTTCAATCATTTTCGCCAGCCTTCTGTCCTTCAGTCTGTTTCCCTTTAAGTTTGCCTCCTTCAGTTTTAGGCAGTTACTTAGCTCCGGTGGGATCTCCAGCATCGCGTTGTCAGAGAGATCAAGCAGTTTTAGCGACACTAGAACCTCTATTTCAGATGGCATCGAGGTGATTTGATTGCCAGCAGCATTGAGCTGATTAAGCAGGCTAAGTTCAGGTGAGCAGAGATCTTCGGGCAAAGACTCCAGACGATTGTGTGAGATGTCTAACACGTGTAAATTGTGCAGCTCACTGATTAGAGGGAAATCAGTCAGTTGATTTCCACTGACGTTTATGGTGTGTAGTTCGCGTAAATCACCTATTTCTTCCGGTAGGCGTTCGAGAGAGTTCCTGGACAGGTCGAGAAACTTTAACTTTTTCAACTGTTTAATTTCACTGGACACATGGTTGATGTTGTTGCTGTGAAGAACCAAAGATGTGAGGTTTATCATTTTTCCTATTTCGTCATCAACCTTGGTCAAACAGGTTTTGCTGATTTCCAAGAAATTCAAATTGATTAGATCATAAAGTGATTTATCCAAACCATTGTCTTCTATTCTACTGCTTATGTCAGGCCCATGTAGTACAAGTTCTCTTCGCTCCTCTTTCCGAGCTTGCACAACTTCCTGCCATGAGGGCTCCATCATTGCACTTTATAATATGACTCTAGGCGTCGCCACGTTGAGCTCACCCAGCAAGACATGCCACGCTTGGTAACATGTAGCACGAGTTAGTCGGGGTCATCCCGCTATAAGTGCTTTTACTCCGAAAGACTTTTATCTAGATTAGAATGACTGTTCACAACTCAGCTGTCAACGTGATAGGTTTAGTGAACCTAAGAGCGATTTTAGAGCACTGTATTGGTCTACCACAATAAAAAAAAGATCAAAATCAGTTTGGTATTTCTCAATGGATTCAGTTAAATCACAATAGAACGCTATATACCCTATGGAAAAATGACAGAAAAAATATTTACAGTCTGACTGAGCGTTTTTTATGGTAGTTCTAGGAGGTATTTAATAAACAATACCTTTGCTGCATTTAGTTAACAAAAGAGAGAAACAGAGAGAAAGTAAGCAAGAAAAAGAAAAAAAACTTAATAAAAATAAAGAAAGAAGCGAGGAAGACGGAATAAAAGAAATAAAAAACGAAATAGAGAATAAAAAGGGTAAAATTAATAAAAATTAAAGATGATATAATACTAAAACCGTGATATCCCATCTATCGCATTCTATAATTCGTGACTGCAGTGGGTCGGTGTTCAGAAGAACGCTGATGCATCAAATTTTTTCCTCTTGTACCGGTAAAAGGACAACTGGGAATCGAAAACTGTGTTAATTCGCAACACAAGTCCCATACTATTGAGATTGTAGGTAATCAGTGATTTTTTTTAACAACGTTTATTCGAAAGAAATGGAGGCAAAGCGCTGGAAGCATTAAATGCTCTCCACAAAATTAAATAAGTAAATAAATAAAACAAATGGATACGTATATACAACAGAATAAATGTATAACTTCAAATATTTCAGTGATATAAATCCATCTAAGCATTCTGCATTCTGTTGTAGGCCTACAACCCCTGCCTTCGGCTTTTATTTGCTAGTTTATACCATAGCTTAAAGATACAGGTGCCAGGTCTACGACGATGGTTTTGCACCTTCTCCTGTTAGTATCACTGGCACCTCTGATTACTTTAAACACGAAGACGATGAGTTATCATTCTGAAGATGGTCTCTCCACCTGACTCATCTGATTTATTTCTAAGTTATCAGCATCTTTTGCATACCCACCCAAACAAGAAATGCATAAGGTTACGTGCCTTGACTTCTAATAACAGGTGGTCGTCAAAGTACAGGGTTGGACATCATAGGATTTCTACTACTCGGGTTGCTGCAACAGTCATGGAATATTATCAGTGTGGAATTGTATTGCGATATGTATTTTTTCTAGCTCTGACTTTCATGACTAAACATTGCGTCCACGCAGAGAGTGGTTATAGATTAGTAAATATCGCCAGCCCCAGAACTAACCCCGCAGCCTGTGGAAGGTCGACGGCGTCCTGGGTATGTGATCCAGGGAGAGTTATCAGCGAGGAGGAAGGTAAATAGCGCCACTTTTCACCCTAAAACACATTTTCGAACACTAGCTTAACCCCACCTAGTATGCCAACAAAAGCCGGGGCCCATTTCATATTACTTTAGGATGGTATTAACTGTAAACATTGTATTTGTTTAATCTTAAAAGGTAAAGACTTTCAACTAAAAATTTAAGGCTAAAAACGTATATTTACAAGTGGTCTACCCAATATACAAATTAGTCGAAATCTTAACTTTGTACGTTGAATACACAACCTAATAGGCAGAGTGCTTATTTGCGTTAATCCTATAATGTTGTACGCTTCGGTTGTTTTCACACTCAAAATAAGCATTATCAATTACCACCTGTAGCCGCATTTCGTTTTCTGCTGAGTTTTGCTATTTAACGACAGCTAAATACAACCGCCCTGCATACATCTAGTGTAGCGCCATTACCTTGAAAAATAAAAGAATTATTATGTTTTGTTTATGATTTTTTTCCAAGGAAAGGCAGAGTTGGCTTGACATAAAGCAATTTTGTAGTGTTCATTGTAGATAAAAGCATAATCTTATAGTTGAATAGTGAAAAATCAAGATACACAAACTTAAGGGGATTAACTCGTATAAAGCAATCACGCTATGTTTAATTACCTAAATGTTCATTGTTAAGACATTCTTGGAAACAATCGGATACATTTGAGCATGCTGAATTTTTTCAAGGAGAAATTACTGTACATGTATTTTATATAGGAAAAAAAGGACATTTTATTGGAGACAGACTGTGTTTTGTTGCCATTATGAAATACCATTTCCCCGCATTAACTGATGTGAGAATGATCCTCAAGTATTTATTTGATAATGAGAGGTCCTCAGGTTTATCTTCATAACGCCCGTAAGGAAATTAGTGTTGGCATTATCCATAGATCACCTCATTAAATCGACTCCTGTGACGGAACTCGTTTTCTTTTCTCTCGTATTTCCACTAATACTATCGAAGTATTGAATCCCGCGTAAAATATTGTGATTTTCACATAATGAAGTATTGCGTCTGTGTTTTTATGCAGCCAGTGGCTTTCCGATCGACTGACACTGTAAAACATTTGCAAATCTACATGTTTGAGCAGAACATTGACTTTGTAATGTCTATTCACATTTTAAAGAATGTGGATATGCCAGACTGCATGTGCTTGGTTTGTTTAACTGTTTTATATTATCTACTGGTATATCTATTTGTGGTTGCCAAGAATGCTTTCTCATATTCAATTTATCTACCATTGAATTCACTGCAGCTGTGCGACTGAACCATCTGATTGACGACGTTCGTAAGCAGACCCCATGTGTGTGCCTGGACAAAAGTCGCTGTGACGCGAGCGCCCCTGGGATAGTAGTGGGTGTGTTACTAGTGCCAAAAGTGAGCCCACCAGATGGGTAAGACTACAAATTAGACTTCCTTTTGATGTCTATATAATCTCTGATTTGTTGGAATCTTTCTAATTCGATTACTAAAGGTACACGTACACCCAAAATTACCGTATAATTTTTATTATTAGACAAAGTATAAGGGTGATTCGTACAGATTACCCTGCAAATATAGAAGAGCAGAAATCAAAGGTACTTCCTGTATTAATTCGTAAACTGCACAGCGTGAATCTTGACTCACGTAACCAGTTTTATGCTGTTGAACATGGTCTCCTGGCCTTGTGCCTGCAGTGAGTGAGTGCAGTGCAGTACAAGCACATGCATTTTGAAACATACTGTAAAATTTTAAGTGACAATGTGGAGTGTTTGTGTTTGTGTGTGGAAAAGAAAAAAATTGTGTCTATACATGAAGAAACAAACTTCAACGAAACTTGATTATAATATAATATAATATAATATAATATAATATAATATAATATAATATCTCTCCATTGATCTCTACAGATCCAGCGTGGGACAGGAGATGAACAGATGGGCGAAGGAACTTGCAACTAGTCGCTGGAGTTTTGGAGCCTGTAGTGACGATATAGTCATTGTATTCTCACGAGACGATAGCAGACAAGTACGTTACTCACTAGACCTGTAGAGATTAAGTAAGGGTGGGAGATTAGGCTTTTATACGTGTGGCTTTGTATTGTAAATAGTAAAACGAACATGGGTGTTATGACTTTATTCAGTGTTACCATAGCTGATTTTGCCTAAAGTCAATAATGAAAAAAAATCGTAAAAGATTCCTTGGACAAAATATAATACATTTTATTTTTTAGAAAAAATTGGCTTTTTGTTTTACTTGTCTTCATCAAAAATATATTTCAAAGGAAATCAATTATTCTTGTCTATTTATTTAAAGCTTGCGGTTTATGCAAACGGCCGGGTGGCGAGCAGGGTCGGTGGCCAACCTTGTCTTATAAGCATTCTTCAGGGCGTTCAACCATATATGTCCGCAGCAAAATATGCGGAGGGAATGAATTATGCCGTGTCCAGTTTTAAGTAAGTATATGTCGAAGCATACATGTACTTTAGTAGGTTGGCTTTGGATTGTTCTTGAAAACTGTGACTTGTAGGCCTACAATACTTACTGGTACATAAATAGCATGCAACACGTACCGTACTTCCGCCTAATATTGGCTACCCCAAGTGTAATAGTGAACGACTATCGAATCCGACAGGAATTCAAAAGGGGCAAAATGTTGCACATAGCTTCTTTTAAATATGGACCACATAAGATGCTAAATGTAGACTATTTACACAATAAAGCAATCAATGATCGAACATCTTTCGAAAGTGTTTTACAAAGTGAGACCTGTACAATAAAGTATTTAGGTGAAATCACTAAAATTTTATTTTCGCTTCACTTTTCACAGGAAAGTCATACTCGAAGGTGTCTGTCCAAATCCGGCCAATTCTCCGGGGCATAAGTACCCCCCTGCTGGGTCCGGTGACAGTGGTAGTAGCAGCAGCAGTAGCAGCAGCAGTAGCAGTAGCAGTAGTAGTTCCAATGGGGGTACCAGTAACAGCAGTGGTAGCGGTAGCCAAGGGAAAAGCACAAACATGGGGCACAGCGCCGGAAATGTCAGGGCAGGATCTTTGCTGTTCTCTCTTCTAAGCATAACATTAATGCTGGTATCGTAACATTGACTGACAAACATCCTCTTACTTTTAAGAATATGTATTAACTGTGGATGGACCAGTCTAATTTCTGTAGAATTCTACGTTTCTGACCAATCCTCATACCCGGTGAATCTAAGACTCGAATGAGGGTAATATGTTTTGTATGCTTTTGAACAACTAACTTAAGATAGCAGTTTTTATACTCTTAATCGTGATTTATTCGCAGAGAAACACGTATAGAAAAGAAAGCTGGCAACCGGACATAATTTTCGTCAATGGTGAACAGTTATTATTATTATTATTATTATTATTATTATTATTATTATTATTACTGAGATTGAGAACTATTGTGAGAAAAAAAGACTACACTCTAAAATATGGCAGTGCACTTCCACGTCTGTAAGCAGTGCTTTTGAGAACGTTTGGGGTTTATGAACCTTGCTGACATGTATGTCTTTAATTAATGATTTTCTTAAATATTCATTTAATACATGTACGGGATGAATATAGAAAATTACATGTATACTCGCCGTTCAAAATATTTATTATGATTTTAAGTCTTTACGTTGTATTTTATCAAATGTGAACGTTATCTGGTATCGTTCTGTGTTGACTCATAATGAGTCGAGCTATTTTCTGTAGTGTGAACTGTAGAGACTTCAACACCAAGAGCGTGACCTTTTACGACTTCCGCGCCCAGTTTCTTGATGCCATCTTTTACCAAAGAACACATTATTTATGTGACGTATTAGTTAACACGTCGCCTTTGATCTTTGTCGCATCGTCAATCCTATGTATTATAATTAGTTTAAATATATCACTGAATCGCCACCATTCATCTTAAACTGGACCCGCCTTTGCTAATACTTATATCTTAATATAACATTTTGTTTCTTATTTTGAATTCTAAAAATACATTTTATATTGGTCTCCTTTTTATATTGATGATAAAAACCTTTTAGACACGTTCACTTGTAGCAAGTTAGAATAAGAAACAAAGATGTAGGATAACCGAAAATTTACCTGTATTTTCTTGTTACATTTTTTAAAAATGAGACACGATGATAACTAAGAAAATCTCGCGAGACGTTTTTCAAATGTTAACTTTGACTGACACTGCTTCGCAAATATTTGAATAAATGAATAAACTATTGCACTATTAACTTTACATTACATGTTGTGTACTTGGCGATGTAGCTGTCGTAAACTGTATCCTTGGCAGGCCCGTAGCCAGCAATTTCAAAAGGGGGGTTCTTTTTCTGAAAAAGTGGACCTTTTCCCATATAAACTTCATGTACCTAGATCAAATTTTACCCAGAGTGAACCTTTTCCCAGCAAAAGGGGCGGTTCTTTCGAACCCCCCGAACCCCCCCCTGGCTACGGGCCTGCTTGGGGAACTTCAAAAATTGAGAATAACCAACTGTGTTGCTGGTGTGAAACGCCACATGAGTCATGGTGGTTCTATACATAGAAACTAAATACGCAAAAATAGGCCATGATTCACTATACGCAAGGAAATCTTGTTTTGGACAAAAGGATATATATGTATATCTCTAGCCAAAGAGAGGCTTAAAAAAAGGCAAAGGTTCCGTCTAAACTATGGATATAAATAGAACAAATTAGCTTATGTTCATTGATCACATGATAAGGGAATGGCTCGGCATTTCAACCTGATGCCTCATTTGTTTATACCAAGCTTCCAGAAAAACAAAACTACGTACTTGAGAAGTGTATGACTTTGTCATCAGTCCGCAACCTGAAGTGATATGGAAAGGTCTAAGTTCAGATACATGTACACGTCTTGGTTGGTTTTTCTGACACTGGTTTTAACAGTGTCTACGTCACATTTGCCAAAACCTAGGTATCATAAACAGCTTTACGAGCTAACAGATATAGCAAATCCCAGGACAAACTTCGCGGAGTGTGGCCGTATATCCCCATCATGGGTTTGCGATCCAGCCGGCATCTTGGAAGAATCTGAAGGTTGGTACTGAGAGTCCATCAAAATAGTAGTGCTTTTCTGTAGCGGGACCAGGTGTAGTCCTTTAACATTTCTTTCTGCTTAATTCAGTGATAAACGCGAGTGTTTTCCTTTTTTTACATATGACGAGTGCTATTATATTTAGTTCGTAGACTGGACTATTTACATTTTAATAGTACTTTAAAACGAAATGAAGTACAAAACACACGAAATAGAACAAAGAGAAAACATGAAAAGCACTCAAACCTGATGTGGAGTAGACCTTGTACATTTGTAGATGTTGATCCTATTAATACCTAGTGAACATTTTACTGTTTTTTTTTTTAATATCAGCCTTCCGAATTGACAACGAAATTACGAAAACTATCGAAGACACCAAATGTCCGTGTAGTCAACAATGCCCCTTGGATTCAAATGGCTATATCATCTCTGTTGTTTTACTTCCAAAAATCAAAGTATCTCCCGGGTAAGTATGGATATCTTTATCTTCCTTGTTATCAACTCAAGTACACTCTCTTTACTTATCGACTTTAGTACTCATAGCCTTAGTATAAAAAGCTGTATTTTCTGAGAGCAGATGGTATTACATATTTAATGGACTGTATACACACACACTGAACACGTCAGAAAAGGAGTACCCAGGACGGTGACTGAATATGTACCACACGTGATCTATCACAACTTCTCGATGGCGGTTGTAAAATGACACTGCCAACATCAAATCATACCGCCATCCAGGGGCGGATCCAGGATTCTTTGAAGGGGGGGGGGGGTCCGCGGATGAAGGGCCCCGAAAAATTTTGGTATTTTAGAGGCCGAGGGTGACATTTAGTACGGTTTAGAACTATGATTCAGCTAGTCAAAATTTTAATATCAAGAGGGAACCAAAAATCGAAGGGGGGGGGGGGGGTCAGGACCCCCCCTGACCCCCCCTCTAAATCCGCCACTGCCGCCATCAATTAACATTGCCAACTTTCAGTACATCTGCTTTACAAAGCTTTAATAAACGCATTCCACAAAAGTTAAAATTGTATGATTTGAACGAAAAATACATCAGTTATAGGAAATTGATGCCTTTTACGAGTCATATCCCAGATGTTTCATGATTACAGCTACAACGTGTCTACGGAGCTCAAAAGATGGGGTCAGGAACTTTCGACCAGACTTTGGAAGTTTGGCACCTGTGGTAATGATTTAATTATTCTGATCTCTTTGGGAGATGCAGCACAAGTAAGTCAAGGCTCTGAAAATTCTGTTAAATACTTTGGCAATCCAGCTTCAGTTCTATTAATTTTAACCAAGGAAGAGTCTCTTTCGAAAATTTTGAAAGAGGGTTTCTTCTTTTTTCTCAAAAGAAAATGATTATTAAATCTAATGAAAAATAATTCCCACCAAAACTACATTTGAACTGCACGGAACAAAAATATTTCTGTTCTGCATGTGCATTTGTTAACAGTATCAAACCTGGTCTGATTATTCTGATTACTAGTGTTCGATGCACTGTAATCGCCGTGAGTTTTATTGTCTCGCATTTCGCATAATAATGATACATACATAAAATTGTAGCAAAATGTCTCATAAAACCACTTTTTTCTGCAGGTAACTGTATATGCAAACTCTTCAGTATTAACAAAGGTCAGTGAGGCAAGTTGCCAGCGAGATTTTCTTGCCAACTGCCGTTTATATTTGCATGCCGGGAGATATGGCGAAGCTATTAGGCAAACTGTGGCAGGTATCCGGTAGGTCACAACATTTGTGAGAAAGACGATGGTGAATTTATAACCATTACTTTCCCACACTTTTTACCAAAGATAAAGATAAAGATCATATCTGTTCGACTTTGAATAAATCTGAGACATTTTAGAAAAAAAATTCACCATAGGTGGATAAATGGAGCACAGGGACCCACGCCAATTATGCCAAAATTAAAATGGCAAATATAGTCCACGACCCTTACAAAATGGAGAAAAACTCATTTTAGACCCACGTTTTTATATTCTGTATGCTGACATATCATTTTATATCTGGATCGAACACAGACTTGAGACTTGTTAAAGTACAAGGTGATCGATGAGCACTTGTCAACATTATTCTTTATCTAATTTTTTTCTAGAAATATTTTTCTTGGCAAACCTTGCCAATTTCCACCAGTTAGTGAATACTTCGAAAAAGTGAGCAACGACCATGAAGTACAGGATGGCATTGAGAGTATACGTCATACTCAGAGAGACAGAGGCAAGACCATTGGATTACGACTTCGACGTGATTATGACAATAATAGATATATACATTACCAAGAGGAAGAAGACCAAGCTGCCATGGGTGTCACCATAAACGGTACCCACTACGCTTGGTGGATCGTCCTTTTAATTGTACTGGGAATAATTGCCGTTATTATTGGCCTAGCCATTGCGTTGTGTTGTTGTTGTTGCGGTGCACTGTGCTGCTAATATCGGCTACTACTAGGACATTTCCGGACTAAGACCTCGTTTTAAGTAGTATGTGTACATATAGGCCTACTGAAGTCCATTGGAACGAAAAGAGATTTCCTATATCCTTAATATCCAACATCCACTACCGACAGTTTTCTTTATGTGACTAATTAAACTCACTCAGTCCAGTGGTGTGCGACTACACCAAAACTATGACAACAACAACATTATCCATTAAGCATGATTCATAAAACACTACAATGAGCATTAAACAACACAGCCAAAATTGTAATTAACATATAATTAACATATCCATTGCAGAGACATTATTCCCGATGATCTGGAAGTTTGTATTATTGGACCAACACAATTTACCATTACGTAAACGGTGGTCAAAGCTGCAAAAAGCTCAAGATATTGATTATTTTTTAATACTGTTGTGCAGTATGTACAAATTAAGTATGAAAACGAAGATACACAATACATTTTTATAGAAGCTCTTGCCTGCCCATTATTTACATATAGGCCTACTGTATCATCATTTTGGTTTTTCTGACATTGAGCTTAAAGTAAGCTGTACTAGAAACAGTCTCACCGTTTTCAGGTAAACATGTCCAAATATCCAGGACACTTGATATTGCTGGTATTTTACCAAATAAACAAATAAATATATTATTGAAATAAATTATATTGCAAAAAAATAAACAAGTAAATAATAATAATAAAATCGTTATAAGGCAATATGTTTGTATAAATCAGAAGATGCAGATTTTCCATACTGTATTACAGTAGGACTGCCAACACCGGTTCTGTTGTTTAGTGGTAACGGTGCTGACTCCTGTTCTGTCCATCCTGCCAGCTCACTAGTATACACTTAATTCCTGTTCACACTGCTTACCATAGGAAGAAATCTGCAACATAGATGTACTTACAAACCAACCTATGCCTGTACTGTATATTAAATTGCAAGATCTTGATAACAGGTCAGTATCTCATTCGCTGTTCTGCCTATTATCAAAGATGCATTTTGTTTTCACGCGGGAATATTTAAGTAATAAGTAGACCCTGGTAGGGATACCAATACACTGGCGCAATGCAGGCAAGACAAAATCACAATTTTGTAAAATGTGGAATAAAAGCTTATCCTAGAACTTACTGTGAGCTGATATGATGGTAAGAGCACGTTTGGGGCTGGCTTTGTATGGGTAGATGAAGGTCGGCCAAAATATCGATTTTAATCTTTTGCGTTTTAAGTGTCGCTGGTAATGCAATTATTGAGAGATCTGCCCGCTCAAAGGAACAACGAAGGTTAGAGCAGGCGGCCCTTTATTGTTGTTGGATGCCATAGAGGTGGAGAGCAGCTGTCCCTTTCGGAGATGTCTATATGTCTTTAAGCTGTCTTATCAAATGAATTGCTTTTTGTCTAGGTTAACAAATCCACCTTTATCTGTCTCTTGCTCCCAGAAGAACGCTTCCAAGTTATCTGAATATGATATTTTCAGATTTAATAACCGGTATGAACCATATTGATTGCATTTTTGATAATTGCCATAATTAAGTGAAATGGCACTGAAAAGGAAACTCGGTAAGAAAGCAATAATATCAGTATCAGTCGTCTAGCTACAAAATGTTTCCTAAAGATTGAACATTCTTTTTAATGATTTTTAGTGATAATGATGATTATTAAAAATCAAAAGTACCAAATACGATTGACACGTTGATAAAATTGGTTAGAAAAATTGATTGGTGAGTTTTGCAAATTGGTGTTGTTAGAATGAAACTGACATGGGACTGTTCTTGGGGACAGATTAATGACAAATCCAGGGCGTTCTGTGTCCGGTCAAACATTAAGAAGAATTGATAAACCTTTTCTTGAACGCTAAACTGCACACGTCAGCAATCAAATCTTGAGTCTTAGTGATGCGTTTCTGAATTAAGAGTCATCCCTCTAAATTATTCTTTATACGGCAATCATGTAGGGTTGGATATCGAGAAATATGGCAATATTCACTCTTCTCATAAAGTCGTCGGTATACAATATCTCATCAAACGCTGAGCGTCAAGATGAAGAATGAAACGCCAGAATTGCTTGTAATTTTTTCTCAGCCAGCAACGAATAATGCGCGAATGATACATATTAACAATGCTTAACTCTCTTTCCTCCCTATTTTTTTTGTGATGTTGACGGTGGGAAAGTCTTGTTATCCAGTATCAAAAATACAAATGTTGAGGCAGAAAAAAATTTCCGCTTTCTTCATACCTCGGAATCGCTGTATATTCACTGTCCATTAGTTGTTTCATTGTGCAGTAACACATATTGCGACCGTACAATTGGTGCCTTTCTATTAGAAATGAAAGAAATGTTTTTACTGAAGCTCTCTTGTAGGTGCACAATTCTGTGCCTTATTTATTTCTTTCATCTCAGGATGAAAATAATTTTTGTGTCAGATTTGATTGTGTATCTGAAACGAAGATGCATACAGCGATAAATGAAAGCCTTTGGTTAGAATATACATGATTTAAGAGTTGTTATTATAAAGGGGCATAAAGTGGAAAGTCAAACGGATATATCATGAATTAAATCAACACTTAAAGACAAATAGCCTGCCAGCCTCACCACAAACAAACGCATATGAAATGACAAACCGTGAATGATTTTGGTTTTAAACGTCACATACATACATACATACATACATATATATTCAAATGCCTGGAAAGATATTTAAAATATTAAAATATTTAATTGGGTGCTGGTAACCCCCCCTTCACACACACACACACACACACACACACACACACACACACAAAGAAAGAAAAACGCTACACGCTCTCTCCTCTTGTTATTTAAGTCCAGCCAATACCAAGTTTGTCAAATCCGCTTGCATCGATTTCCCTAGCAATTTTTTTCGTCAATCACTTGACATGAATTACGACAGGAGCAGATTTATCTGTGTACGCTCTCCACACTGCTCCTAAGAAGAATCAATCAGTTGAAGCACATGTTGGAGTTAAACAGCTAAACCATGTAATTGATAGTGTGAACTTCACTTAGATCTCCTCCCGGTGTGCTCAACACCTTGAAATGTCAATTACATTGAAGCTATCCTCTTTCTTACAACATTCAGCCTAGCACGACCACCAAACCGCTTTGGGGCGAATTCAAATTTCACAAGAGTGACCATTTTTTAGGTGTTTACACTTATTTTCTTAGCTGACAAACCATGATATGTTTATGCATTAATTCTTGGCCCAGATGTGTTTATGACATATATTCTGGAAAGGTAACATTCCCGCCCCTTTTACTACCCTTCTTACTAAAAATACACAGATTAAAATTATTAAAAAGAGGGGTTCGCAGAGGGCTTTCAAATAAATCGATCCCTCTTTTGGTAAGTTTATTAAAATTTGCAATGGAAAAAGCCTTAATTGTTTAATAAAAGTTAAGGAAGTATTTAGAAAAAGATGAGTTGTGGATCCATTTGAAAAATTACCACGTTTACAAACAACTTTCATGGATTACCGGTATCACACAGAAAACAACGGGCGAATTCGGCTTACTCATTCATCTTATCAGGAAAAATTATTACAGTAAATCAGTGAATGCTGGTAGTCTGGAAGAGTTTACATCAGATACATATATCCCGTTTGGGCAAAGTTATCATGAACATAAACAAGTGGGGGAAATGCTGGTTAGTAAAGCCTGGTATATAAGCAGCAATTTGATTACCGTGTTCACCCTCATGGCCATACGCGGGTTATCGGGCTTCTGTTGGATGGCTCAGCTCCATTACGACTAAAATTTGCTACGGGCATTTCTCCTTTGAGTAAATTGTTTGAAATATTCAACAATGTTCTGGTATGGCTGGGTAATACATATATTTGCTGGAATTTAATTCAACACACTGTTGAAAGAAAAAAAGGCAAATGCTATAGAAAATTCTTAACAGGTAAAAAGCAACCAAAAAGAAGCAGAAACATTCATATACCTGCAAACAACTAGGAGAAGCACAGATTGTATTTCAAAACGCTTATTATCTTATTATGCTTTCAAGCTCCGAACAGCAGGCCTATTGGGAATGGAATCCGCGGGCTGATCTCTTGTCTCGACTTTATATCTAACAATCCCGGGAAATAACCAGAAATATGGACAATCTGCCAACAATATAGAGATCAATTTGTAGGGCAGCTTTCTGATACGATCTAATTGGAAGTGTCTTCCAAACTATAAAAACGATCGAATCAGCGTGGTGTACAGATAGGCACGGAAGGGAGGGGGTACAAATTGCCCAATACCCTTTCACTTTCAATGTTCATAGACCATCGACACTACAGCCGCCCGATTCCAATGAACATGAATGAACAACCAATCAATAAAACACATCTTTAAGTGTAACAGTTAAACCTTGTTACTGATACAGTGAACTGAACTTAGAGCTCCCCCCGGCGTGTTAATACAAGTATATCCAAGTATATGCTTTTTCATTAAGATGAGATAAATAAAAATAAAGGAAACAGTCAGTGTATGTGCACTAGATATAAATTACCGGTTGTGTTTTGTACTGTAGTGTAGAGTGTGTATGGAAGCAGGATGTGAAATGATAAAGTGTAAAAGACGTAGAGGGCATTGGTTTGGCTTATATATATGTACAGTGTATTGGCAGCAGACTGTGAACATTCTCCTCACGATTTCTTCATTCGATTATGCTCATGTTCTCAGATCTACATGTAGCCATACTACAGTAAAACGGACCTTACTATTCAATATATACAACACGAACTATCTACATGCATATGTGCTGAAAATCGACAAATATTTCTCTTATTTCATTTCATTTTACTGTTGAACAAATTTATCGCTCCCCAATGAGGAATTTGTCTATGTATGATAAACGTACCACGTCGCTCAGGAAAAGCATCAAATCAGTAATCAGATATCAATATCCACTATCATTGGGATAGAAATTCCATCATTATTCTCTGTGGAGATTATTTACTTCTTTTGAAAGAGTTGGCTTTGAATCATTCAATCATTCAATATAATTATTTTGAAAGGGAACTCTACAGGACACAGTGTGATAAGTGCATTACGTAGAAGAGATTCCGATAAATATATATATTTTTTTATTTTGGCGGGAACAACAGCGACGTTTGAGGTTCACCGCGACGTTTAGACGGGACTGTTAAAGGCTCCAGAATCTTCCTTTTTTATGACAACATGTATGTATGTGATTCTTGTATCAGCCACATCACCATGGTCTC